GCAAAACAGACATTTAACCAGATTGTGACCGGTACCAAAAGTATTGGAACTCTGCGCTGGCTGCTGAAAATGAAGACAGAGCATGCATGGGAATGCCCCGAGTGCTGTTGTGTCAATTCTTGACTTAACTCAACGTTCCAGCAAATGTTCGAGTGCTTTTAAGTCAGTTCTTGACATAACTCAACTCAACGTTCCAGTAAATGCACCAATTGTTACTACGTTTCCAATTTCGGCCTTAGAGCAGGCCTAAAAACCCCCTTGATTACCAGTGTCTAATTCCGGTAATCAGTTAAGAAGCTTTGTCGGGTTCTGGGACGAGTGCCTTTTACCTTTTGTGTCCGGCCATGTCATTCTTTGATTTTTCCAAAGCATCAGTAGCTTCACTACCTATAGATCTGTGGAGCCGACGTGGTGTAGCTGTTAGCCGCGGATCAGAAAGTCGTTTGTTCAGGTCCTGGTGGAATTGGACTTGTTTCAGAAAGGACCTTGGCTCCCAGCTCGACCCAGCCTTAAATAGGTACCAGGTCAAATGCTGACCATATTACTCACCTACGACTGGTCTATAAAATATAGGTCTAGCTCTAATTGCTCTATATGCTACACCCGTCTGAGGCGCGGAAAATAGTCCCTTTTTTTTTTTTTTACATTACCTTTAGATGTGTACACAAAACTCAAGTTCTGGAACAAGGCTAAAATCCAGAAGTGGACTAACAACTTAAATTTTCCTCCGGAGTTTACAGCCTGTTAACGCAAAGAAGAAGAAGAAGAAGAAGAAGAAGAAGAAGAAGAAGAAGAAGAAGAAGAAGAAGAAGAAGAAGAAGAAGAAGAAGAAGAAGAAGAAGAAGAAGAAGAAGAAGAAGAAGAAGAAGAAGAAGAAGAAGAAGAAGAAGAAGAAGAAGAAGAAGAAGAAGATGATGATGATGAAGATGAAAATGAAGAAGAAGAAGAAGAAGAAGAAGAAGAAGAAGAAGAAGAAGAAGAAGAAGAAGAAGAAGAAGAAGAAGAAGAAGAAGAAGAAGAAGAAGAAGAAGAAGAAGAAGAAGAAGAAGAAGAAGAAGAAGATGATGATGATGAAGATGAAGATGAAAATGAAGAAGAAGAAGAAGATGATGAAGATGAAAATGAAGAAGAAGAAGAAGCAGAAGAAGAAGAAGAAGAAGAAGAAGAAGAAGAAGAAGAAGAAGAAGAAGAAGAAGAAGAAGAAGAAGAAGAAGAAGAAGAAGAAGAAGAAGAAGAAGAAGAAGAAGAAGAAGAAGAAGAAGAAGAAGAAGAAGAAGAAGATGAAGAAGAAGAAGAAGAAGAAGAAGAAGAAGAAGAAGAAGAAGAAGAAGAAGAAGAAGAAGAAGAAGAAGAAGAAGAAGAAGATGATGAAGATGAAGATGAAGATGAAGAAGAAGAAGAAGGAGAAGGAGAAGGAGACGGAAGAGGAAGAAGAAGAAGACGACAACGACTAAACTTATATATTTTTCAGCTTGTATGCATAATATCCTAGCTTCACATGAATACAACAATGGCTGTTCTATATTGCGCTTTAACAATACATGTTTCCGTACAAGGGACATTTTATTTTGTTTTTATAATGTGTCTGTTTTTCATATTCCATTATACGTCTTTTATTTTGGCGATTCTCATCTTTACAAGGCATCTTGCATCAGATGTTATAGCTGTTACAAAATGGTTATACCCATTCACTTGTATAAGAACGGCGGAATAATGTTAATATCGGAATGCCATTTCCCCATTAGTGCCAGCCAATCCCTCATACAACAATAACAGGACAAATATACTCACTTTCCCTACATTCTTAGACCGTTAAACTTTATTTAAACCTGACATAAAGCAGTGAAAACTTATTATATACGCAGTTAATATAACTTGAGTAAGTTTCTTCGTGTTTCAACACTGGACACATTACGGGATAAACAACTCCCCCATCTCACATCCTCTTTCCTTTCATCCTTGTGGTAACTACATACAAGGTTGAAACCTGTCTGACACGCAGGCGGGAATGACATCTTCTGATCAGACTGCACTCTAATGCATTGCTTTATCTACAAGTGCAAGCAATCTCCATTCTGCATCTCCAGGTTCTTTTCCCCAATCCATTCCTCAAGATACTAAAAATATCTTGCCAGAAAGAAAGAATACGTATAATTGTTTCCGGGCTACCTGCTCCATCTGAAACAACATGTGTAGGCGACATCTCACATGTCTTCGTGTACGTAACCTTCAGATTCCTGCCCATAAAGCGACTAAATCTGATACTGTCGTGACAAATCTTTAAGGATTAGACATAATCTGCAACTGAGAAATATGCGGGATGTCATGCCCCGGTGTAAAGTTTTATTTTCTGCCAAACAACATTTATTTGTCTGTGTTGTAAAATTAGCTTGCGTAAGTAAAATATTCAGAAAATTAGCTTACGTTGACAAAATATCCGGGACAATGTTTATTTATTGTTAATTTTTTAACGCTAAATTAACATGTTTTGTTTTTTGGAATTCTTTGGCCACAGACAGTGGTTAGATTTATTTATTAGTTTACTAATGGCTTTTAGTCATGAGGTGACCCTGAGTCCTGTTTTCGACGGGACAGTATCGTTGCTAGTATTGACCTTCTCGACGATATGGTCACCCTAATTAGTCATAGCTTAATTTGCTTCAGACAGTCGTTAACATATTAACATACTACATATTTTTAACGATTTCTCTTTCAGTCAGCACCTTAGCCAGTTTTCACTTGGTATCCCTGTCATTGCTTGTATTTAACGTAATACTATTACTACTACACAGGGCGCCAGAACCTGGGACATAGACACCCTCAACAATACCCCCCGTCACTCCCCCACCCCCCCCCCCGCCCCGCTCCGGCCAACAAATATTCGCGAGGCTGAGGCCCAAGGCTCCCTTTTTAGACCCCCCCCCCCTACCCCTCTTGAAAACTTGCGAGGATAAGTGGCACCCCAAACCATGTACAAACGTAGCTTAACGGCGCTTCCCGGGCACAATTTGGAGTTGACAATCTACCTACACTATTTCAGGATCCTCGCCGTTGCAACGGAGTTCGTGCACTGCGCTGAGATTCTTTAGACTCACGCTTGTTAGAAGTAGAACGCAGCACTTATTAGTTAAACACGTGTGCCGTGATGTTGATCCGTCGAATAAACATACAAACACATTATCTTTTTAGGAATTTGTCTACACATTTCAAATTTATAGTTTTTTTTTTTTTTTAATTCATCATATTTTTTTGGGGGGGGGGGGGGGTGCCAGTCAGTATATACTGATAATTATAATTATTAGAAGTATAAAATAATTATCATTATCATCATGTAGCAGGTCCTTTGCTGAACGTCGCTCTCATCACGGTCTGCCTGAAAGAAACTCGGTCTCTCGTCTGGTCTCCCGCCTCATATACTTTCATACTCAAGGAGTCACTTATATCCTGTGCCCATCTTCGTGTTGATCGGCCCCTGCCCCTACTTCCTGGTGCCTTCTGCTATAATTTTTTTTCCAATCCGTCGTGGCGCTTAATATGACCAAAATATTTCAGCTTCCGGGACAGGATGCTGTTTATTAGCTCGAACTTCCTTGTAATTATAATTACACTAATGAATTATTATCATTGCAAACTGAAAAAATATTTAGGCCTCTTGAGCCCTCAGCCGCTCCTAGATTATAATGGGGCTAAGCGCCACTCCCTCCACCTTTTCTCTTCCCTTTCCAATAATATCTGCATTGTGGCACCAATTATATTACCCACCCCCCCCCCCCCCCCAACCCCTCCCTTTTCCACACCGACTTCGTTGCACTGAATTATACCAGAACGCTTGATATATTTCTCCCCAAACGGCAAGCTGCCTTTCAAGGGCGTCGCACAAAGCACAAGCTCAAGTGACGATCCCCATGGTTCACCGTAAAAACTGCACTCGTGAACTTAACGATGCGTTCGTGAAACGAACCCACGTCTTTCACATCGTGAGGCAATGGCTTTTTTTTCCGTGAAGCTTGGAAGATCTTCATTGGACACCACATAATTTATTTTAAATGCTACGTTCTCTGTCAGGAGTATACCCGCTTTTCGAAGACAAGAACACACCCACACACACATACACACACGCACGCATGCACACACACAGAGAGGGAGAGAGAGAGTGGGAGAGGGAGAGAGAGAGAGAGAGACGAACCAGATTTTTAAAAAAAAGATTAATGGCAGTACGCCTGAATTCACCTGCAATACCTAATATTGATTTGCTCCTTACGCTCTCGCTCCTCCTTCCCCCATCTCTGATTCCCTTTTTTGGTCATTTCTCTCTCTCTCTCTCTCTCTCTGTCTCTGTCTCTCTCTCTCTCTCTCTCTCTGTCTCTCTCTCTCTCTCTCTCTGTCTCTCTCTCTCTCTTTCTCTCTCTCTCTCTTTCTCTCGCTCTCTCTCTCTGTCTCTCTCCTTCTTTTTCTCACTCCTACTCTTCCTCACTCTCTGTCTCTTCTTCTTCTTCTTCTTCTTCTTCTTCTTCTTCTTCTTCTTCTTCTTCTTCTTCTTCTTCTTCTTCTTCTTCTTCTTCTTCTTCTTCTTCGGCTTCTTCTCCTTCTTCTCTTTCTTCTTCTTCTTCTTCTTTTTCTTCTTCTTTTTCTTCTTCTTCTTCTTCTTCTTCTTCTTCTTCTTCTTCTTCTTCTTCTTCTTCTTCTTCTTCTTCTTCTTCTTCTTCTTCTTCTTCTTCTTCTTCTTCTTCTTCTTCTTCTTCTTCTTCTTCTTCTTCTTCTCCTCCTCCTTCTCCTCCTCCTCCTCCTCCTGCACTCTCTCTCACCCTTAATCTCTCTTTCTCACTCACTGCCCCACCCTTCTTTCTCTGACTCGCTTTCTCTCTCTCTCTCTCTCTCTCTCTCTCTCTCTCTCTCTCTCTCTCTCTCTCTCTCTCTCTCTCGCTCGCTCTCTCTCTCTCACTCCTCTGTCTGCACTTTTCTCCATAAACAAAACACAAATCGAGTGTCATCTTTTACAGACATCAACGAATGTGAAGCGACTCCAGGAATCTGTGGTAATGGTCAGTGTATCAACACAGAAGGTAGTTACTTCTGCAGATGTGAAACTGGATACGAACCGTCTCCTGACAAGACCAGGTGTATATGTGAGTTTTTTTTAAATATATCATTTATTATAACGTGTTATTACTGTAGCCATATTTTTTTTCTACCCCACTAGGACATCACACAAGCGATAAACACCCGATGACACAAAGTGCCACCATGTGGATGAGGATCGCCGTGGAGAGGTCCCAGTAACCGCGTTCAGACAATTGGCCATATTTATGGCCTGCCTATATTGCGGCCCCTGGAAAAAGCCAGGGCGGGGCTTCAAATTACAAAAAATGTTGTCCTAAAAACTGGATTAGTGCCACTGTAGCCATCGTTGTCCGTTTATTTTTATACGTCATTGCCATTCTCTAGAAAGCTTTCTCTGATATGTTAATTCTTTTTTTTTTTTTTTTTTTTTTTCAAATATCCAGAAACCATGAGTTGTTCTCGGTACTATGGATATCGCAGCCCTTCGGCCTTGGTTCCATAAAAGGCACCGTAAACTTGGGACACATGTGGCTTTTCTGCCAACCCCCGGGGATGAATCCGGACCACAATGAGTTCGTAAGCCTGTCGCCGCGCAGTCAGGTTTAATCTGTTGCTCGTCAAATACTGAGCTTAGATCGGATCAGTTATGCTTTTCTATTACTGACATTTAAAACAAAGTTACAATCTGGTAGGTTTATTGTCCTAACGTTTGTAATTGCCGAAGGATATTAATTTTTTATTTCTAACATTTAGAACTGGTATAGGATCTTTCAGGGAGCCGCCGTGGTGTAGTGGCTAGAAGCTGGCCAGCGGATCGGAAGGTCGTGGGTTCTGATCCTGACATAGCCAGACTTTTTATTTTCAAAATGACCTTGGCTTCCCCGTCGAAAGCTACTGACGTGATGTTGCCTACATGGCCAACTGAGTGCAGATTGGTCTATAAAATATAGGTCCAGCCCTATGTGCTATATTGGAGCCGCCGTGGCGTAGAGGCTAGATGCTCGCTAGCGGATCGGAAGGTCGTGGGTTTGGGTCTTGACGGAACCAGACTCGGACTTTTTCCCAATTTGACCCAGCCTTGAATGGGTGTCAGGTATAGTTCTGAGAAGTGCAGACGACCGGCGTGATGCTAACCACATCACCCCCGAATTCTGATTGGTCTATAAATTATAGGTCTAGCCCTGTATGCTCAATACGCTTAAAAGCGTTTACAAGGGACTTACTGTGTGCTACATACGCCTTCAGGCGTGGAAAAGGGTCCGTAACTTTATTTTCGGATTTGTTGACATCTAGACTTTATGACATCTAGAACTATGTTTTTTGCTCCTGACATTCAAAACTAATACACATGTTATATCTTCTCTCTCCGACCTTAAGCTGCACAACAAGGATACTGTTATACTCGAGTTGTGGGCCGCAACTGTCAAGGTCGCATAGCAGAAAGGATGTCACTGCGAGATTGTTGCTGCTCAGTGGATATGGGAAAAGGATGGAGTCTTAGCGAGCAGACGTGTCAGCCTTGTCCGACCTCAGGCAGTGGTGAGTGTCTCTATCTCCCTCAAAGTTCTTGATTTTCTCCAACATAGTGTATGCCCCAGAAGTCTTTTCTATCTCCATAGAGTGTAGTCTGAATGTGATAGTCTAGTTCAAGTGTGACCTTATAGGAAGTCTAAAGACTGTGACTGGTCCAGCAAATCAAATATAATAAGATAGGCATCAGATAGAAAGGACACCACAGGGAGCACTATTAAACAGGAACAACTGTATAACAGATCCAAAGTCGACCACGCAGAACATGGACCACAGATATATCAGAGAAACTGAGAAGTACTTTATACCAAGTAAACAGAAGGGCCCGTTCCGAGATCTGTTTTTGCCCTGACATCTCCAGGAGTAGAGAAAAAAAAATAAGATAGATTGAGCACCCTGAACATCTGCAGCGAGATTGGTGGACCTTTACATTCTTTTGAATATGTGCACCCGATCTCCGTCTTTATACAGAATAATTCACTCTAATATAGGACGCAGTTGTTTTTTTTTTTTTTTTTTTTTTTTTTTTTGTTATTCTAAAACCCCACCTAAGTTGTTGTCGGGGGCCCTAATATAACCTAACGGTTGAACAAGGTTTCTGGGACTTGTGCTCGTGTTATTTTCATCCGAATGTTGGCACTTTGTGTCACTGGGTGTTTATAGTTCGTTGTGCAGTCCTGATGGAATTGAACGTCACTCCATCTTTAAAAAGCTTTTCTATATTTGGGGTCTGTATTTTATTAATACCAAACATTTAATTTTTTTTTTATTCCATAGGAATTAAGGCTTCGTGTAATCATTGTTGTGTCTGAGGTGTTAAAATAATAGCATTATGGGACAATGTAACATCGAGTAGGTCATAAGGAGTTAAAAAACGTACACAATGTCAGCTAAAATCAGCAAACACACCAGAGCTGCTTTGTACTTAATGAATTAATAGCGCCCTGGGATTATGCAAAATAATCAACTAGGTACCACCCCTCCCACCACCCACCCCCCCCTCTCTCTCTCTCTCTCTCTCTCTCTCTCACTCTCTCTCTCTCTCTCTGTCTCTCTCTCTCTCTCTCTCTCTCTCTCTCTCTCTCTCTCTCTCTCTCTCTCTCTCCAGGGTCTTCATTAGCCATATCGGTCATAGTTGTATCCACAACTATGGAGTAGAAATAGAATTCGTCTCAAATCACTGAAATGGCACCATAAGTTACATACATTTATATTAATTAGCCATACAAATAAAATGGCGACAGGTGTGATTCCCACATAAATATACCAAGTCAGAATTGGTCTCTTAAACGTGTAGGTTTACTTCCATAAGCCCGATGTGTCGCTGGGTGAAAAGAGTCATTTACTTGCTACATTGCCGTAAACATTGTGTGTTCTACCAATCAACGTTAAGGACCTGGTATGCCCTGCGTCTGTGGCCTAGGCGTTGTGAACTTGCTTCGTAATACTGGCGTGCCAGGTTCAACCCCAGCAGTGAGCGATGGGTAGCATAACGTCCTGCTTTGGTTTCGACAGTGGTGCTGAGAGCTAACGGTTCAGGGTGCAGTGGCAAACTATTGAACGTAAAATTTGTCTAGAAAAACAGCCAAACAATGTCAGGGTTGGTTCTGCAGGAAGATGATGTCGACTTTTCGATTAGAAGCAGACAATCTAAATTTATTTTGGCCATGCTATAAGAAGAAGAAAACTGAAGAACATCATCACGGTGGGAAAGCTGGAGGGCAAATTTATAAACAGTTCTCTGTCCTAATTATACTCAGAGACTGATGTGTCTAAACAGTTCACTGTTTTTATTATACTCAGTGACAGATGTCTAAACAGTTCTCTGTCCTTATTATACTCAGAGACTGATGTGTCTAAACAGTTCACTGTTCTTATTATACTCAAGGACAAATGTCTAAACAGTTCTCTGTCCTTACTATACTTAGAGATTGATGTGTCTAAACAGTTCTTTGTCCTTATTATACTCAGAGACTGATGTGTCTAAACATTTCTCTGTCCTTATTATACTCAGGGACAAATGTCTAAACAGTTCTCTTTCCTTATTATACTCAGAGACTGATGTGTCTAAACAGTTCTTTGTCCTTATTATACTCAGGTACAAATGTCTAAACAGTTCTGTCCTTAATATTCTCAGAGATAGATATGACTAAACATTTCACTGTCACAACAGCAAGCGAAAATTCAAAAGAAGGCAGGAGATATTCGGGACTTGGAATGTTAGTGGTTTGGGCAACAAGGAACCAGAGTTAGTGGAATTCATGAAGAAATCAAATATTCATATACTAGGATTAGCGGATACGAGAAGAAATGGACACAATACGAAACTTATACACGAAAATTATGTTCTGGTATAGAACGGCGTCGAACAACGAGCGAGAGCTAAACATGGAGTCGGTTTTATAATTCGCCCCGATAATGCAATATGCATTATCTACACTGAATTTATATCATAAAGAATTATACTAAATTAGATCAAAGAAGGGTCTAGAACAACAACGACTGTGCAAACCTATGCTCCATGTAACGATAGTTACAGCGAAGAAGACAGGAGAGAATACTTTCAGAAACTTTTCGACATTTTAAACATTATCAGTGAAAGTGATGATCTATTGTGATGGGTGGTTTCAATAGAAGAATAGGTACAAGAAGATCGCCATGGGAAGAATGTATGGGGCCATTCAGTGACGCAGATAGGATTGTACAGCAACAGAGAACATCTACTTAACTTGTGTTCACAACAAGGTCTTATAGTAACAAACAGGTTTTTTTTTTTTTTTATCATTGACGCAGTCATACCAAAACTTGGTATAAATGGGACAATTTAGATCAGGCTTCACACATTGAATTTATTCTGTTCAGGAAGACAAAAACGAAGACAGTTAATAGACTCATGAGTCCTACCTAGCAAAAACAAACATTGACACTGATTATAGACAAGTTAAAACTGCAAGACCACATAACATGTTAAATTCATCATGCAGTAAATACAACATGAAGATAAAAGCAAACAAAGCGAAACAATGCAAGTTAGTAGAACCCCTGCCCCACTACACATACAGTTGACTGGTTCTGCTCTGAATCAAGTTAAAGAGTTTAAATATCTAGGAAGTATGATCACAGAAAATGGTAGAATTGACAGAGAAATAGAAACCAGATGTCAGAAAGCAAGTGCACTTATATACTTATGGTCACCATTATTATAGCTATGAGTGCAAAGAGACAGAATATTAATAGCATATTCATTCCAACATTAAGCTACCAGTGCCAGACATGGACACTATCTAAGGCCCATATACGCAAAATCACCACCTGCGAGATGAGGTGCCTGAGAAAAGCAGCCAACCTAACAATTCGAGATAGAGTGAATAATGAAACTATCAGGCAAATTGTGGGAACGACACCTTGTACTAGAGTCATTGAGAAACAGCAGATCAAGTGGTTTGGCCATCTAGTTAGAATGCAGCAAGATCAAATACCATCACAAGCTCTGCATCTCAGAAGATTAGCTACAAAAGCAAGAGGACGACCGCGAAAAATGGATCGACATAATTAAAGACACTCTACGCCTTCACGACATGACAATAGTTATTGGCAGCCAGCGTGCACTGGATCGCAAATTATTCCTCCCCACGGCGCTTAACGGCAGAAGTGGTTTATGACAATGATGATTTTACTGTCCTTATTATACTCAGAGATATATATGTCTAAACAGATCTTTGTCCTCATTATACCTAGAAATAGATATGTCTAAACAGTTTTATGTCCTTATTATACTCAGAGATAGATATGTCTAAACAGTTCTCTAACCTTATTATACTCAGAGATAAATATGTCTGAGCAGTTCTCCGTCCTTATTATACTCAGGGACAAATGTCTAAAAAGTCCCTTCTTTACTGCTAACAGGTAGTTAATGTTGATTTCATTCAAGAACTGACATTATAGAACTCAAAACATTTCCATAAACGTTACCTTTAGCGGCCAGTGCAGAGTTAAAATTACCACTGAATGTTAATGTCTAAACATATAGTATCTCTACTATAATTTCAGATTGTTACCTACATCAGTACCCCTACAATACTTGCTGACAGTTATTGTCAAAACAGTTTTAATACTATACGCCGAGAAAATTAATAGCCACACCAAACGATCGTTTTCGTCGTCTATTGTCCTACTGCTTATGCTGTAAAGCGCCGCAGAAAGGAGTTAAAGTAGTTTCATGTTTTTGCTAGTTGTGTAGCTTGTGTTAATATCATACTGCCTTTCTGTGGTGCCTCTTTTACTCCCTCTACCCATTTTTTCCCTGGTCGACTTCTCGCCTTCAATCCTGCTGTTCTCGTTCTATTAGGACCCCGGCGTGACAATTGCCGTTCTTCAAATCCCCGAAAGCCAACCTAGTCTCTTAACATCGTAATAAAGCTGTCAGGGAGACATGTTAGCAAGAAACCCAACACTTGAGATTTCTAAGTGACTATCATCGTGTTTTTCTGAGCTTCAAAGACAAGATAAATTCCCTTATTGTTCCTTTGTTTTCTACAAGATAGCTTACATTGTGCAAACGATCTACGTGGAATGTTATCTCGGAGCAGATGCTGGGGGCAGTAAAATCAAAGAATATCTTATTTGTTTTCCCACTTTCATCTCTTACCAAGCTTCTATTTTTGATGGACAATTTATTGTCGCTAATCCAAATAGACATTCCGGGATTAAACTCAAGACTGTAAAAAAGATTGGATTGTGCCCCTCCCCCGCACCCCCCCCCCTCAAAAAAACGGGGGGGGGAGGTGGGGGTATAAATTAGGTAGTAACAAGACGTTATTCAGCATAGTTCTTATCTCCTCTATTATTATTCTTAAGCCAAGGCCTACGGCTTCTCTCATTTTAGTTTCCCTTCATATCCTTTAACCGCTTCCGTTTTCTGTCAACGTCTATTATGAGGTCGACAGGTTTGCTTTTCAATTAGTAATCCTGCCATTCTATAATTCTATGGTGTTGTGTATTACCCTGTC